GTTAGACACATGGTGCAACGTGAGGTTAGTATTTCATTAAGAAGCCGAATATTAACTGACTAGTAGAGACTAGTTATGAAGTCTGACAGATCTTTTGAATATTATATTATGTGGTTGCCTAGTGAGAAACGTTTCTTTTATTCTAATCACCTCATTCCAACCCCACAATTTCAAGTGTAGATGCCTAAAAGCGTTCTGAATTCAGGCCAAATTCCAGGCATCAAGGCCCCAATCTAGGGAAAACGACCCTGCGCGCTATGCCCCTTCGTACATATATGATAGTATCAGATGACCAAAATGAACCTCACTCGAAAGGGTTTCACGCTCACTGTCACACCGAGGCTTCATCAATAGAGACGTATTTTGGACTCATTTATAGTTAGGTATGAAAAGAGTGCTACGGTGGCTGGCTAAGAACGGCTACAGTGCCAACGATGATTTTCACTCAACGATAAATCGCAAAAGTCAGGTACCTTTTATGGTATACTAATACCATTGGCCAGATCACTCATTTATAGGCTGCAGCCTCAAAAATATATATAAAAAGGCTTTTACTATATAGTCGTACACAGGAAATAGCAAAATTAGAGGTGGCGGTGGCACACTAGCAGTTAGAGACCGCAGAGCCTTAACTCTTGACCAACGGTACTCCAGTATGGGGCCGGCATAACATCCGCCAATTAGGCGGCGTCTACATAAAAACCCAAGATCTGTTTCCTTAGAATCTATCCATTTCCCCGGTAAAGTTATCTTAGGGAGTTTGGTGGATCGACGGTGACGAAAGAGTGGAGCTTGAGGGTTTGGAATCAAGCTTTGACAGCTTGAAGGGTTTAAAAACCATTGGGACATCTTGGACTGAAAGAATTGTACATTTTTTCCTACATATTCCTTTAGCAAGGTGTTTTTTTTTTCCCTTTATTGTTGTTGTTGTTATGGGAAACTCTAGGGAACCTGGCCGGGATGGCGGAGTCAAAGGTATGATACAGGCTCGAAGAGATTGCTGCGAAATAGCAATAATGCTGATACAACGACAGATGCTGTGGAAGCTCCCGAATATGAGAAACCGGAAGGCACCGAAGAAGAAGCAAGCAAGAATGAAGGCATGGGCAAAAACCCATCATATAGTTTGGCTGGCTCTGGCGCACAGAATCCGAACAACAACCAAGGATATACAGATGAAGAGTACCAGAAGTACGCTTCTCAGTATAACAAACAAGACGATGGCCCGACCTGGAGTTTGGCTCATCCACTGCCCCATATAGTCCGGCCCGGCATGCGTCACGGCGCTTTGCCAGAGGACCGAAAAGAGGATCGAAAAGAGGATAGAAACGGCACGACAGAAAACCAGCAGGATTCAGCGCACGAGGAGGAAGTGTGCAAACAGCAGTCGGCAGAAAATCGAACGAAGAAGGTCAATGATCCCAAAGAAGACGGCTTTTTCAATTCATGGTCGAAAATTCGCCACCAACTCCGTGAGCCGCTGGCCGAATGGCTCGGGGTAAGTTTTATCGACATGGCTCAAAATACAATCAATCAAGCAGTCTGCTAATGAGTATCTCGCGCAGACAACCATGGCAATGACAATTGGTCTTTGCGCAACCTTATCAAACTTCACTTCCTCCGGACAAGCCGGATCATACCCTGCCCAAAGTGTCGCCTGGGGCTTTGGATTCATGGTCGCTATCTACACCACCGGAGGTATGTCTGGTGGCCATTTAAACCCAGCCATCTCAATATCGCTGTCTGTATTCCGTGGATTCCCCGCTCGTCGATGCGTGATCTACATTGCCGCGCAACTCCTCGGAGCTATCACCGCAGGGGGAATATCATACGCGATCTACCATGACGCTATCGTTGAAGTCGCCAGATTGGCGAACGTGCCTCAGAATGCAAGTGTCGCCTCACAGGCTCTCCTCACGTTACCGAAACCATTTGTCCGTCCTGCGACTGCATTCTTCACCGAGTTTGTCGGCAGCGCAATCTTACTTGGCTCTATTCTAGCTCTCGGGGATGATACAAATGCGCCCCCGGGAGCAGGAATGCAGGCGTTTATTATTGGGATTATTATCTCGATTGTGATCCTTGCACTTGGGTATAATACTGGAGGGTATGTGTCCTATCTCTAAATTCCCGACTCTAAGTGCTTTCGAAACTAATTGTTGATCCACTGTAGTTGTTTCAATGGCGCACGAGATTTTGGCCCACGACTTGTTGCCCTCATGGCTGGATGGGGTGGCAATATCTTCCGAGAATACCATGCATGGTGGGTTTGGGGTCCGTGGATCGCAGACATCACCGGTGGATTGTTTGGCGCATTGATCTATGATATGGCTATCTTTACTGGTGGTGAAAGTCCAGTCAACTATCCTCCGCGGAGACGAAAGCGAGCATACCGTGTGAGAGCCTTGAATCTTCGGAAGAAACTTCGTATCGGGAGAAAAAAGCTGCCCGATCTTGAGCATTCTGTTGCGGCTACTGAGCAATGAGCTATCTTGTTCTATTTATACATAATTACTAATTAGTCTAATTACTGGTTATAGATTTAAAAGTGAAATTACTGAGCCTGGGAATCTTAGGTTGCTTCATGTACATATCTTACGGAATAATTCAGGACATAGCTATCCTTCACTCGCTCTTCTCTCTGCCACCGCCGCCTCCAAACCAGCTGTTACCTCGGACGTACGCAGCCCTTGGGACTGGCAGGCAAATATGACCCGGAACAGGCCAGGCTGGAATTGGCCAAGCGGAGTGCGTGAAGGAACCTAGGCACGTGATATATACCACAGAAGATAAAGCAGTGTTAGAATTTCAATGGTTTTCATTGATTCACTGTCCCTCTTTGTGTCTCTTACAATGTCTCCAGGAGTATTTTATGGAGTCTCGGGACTTTCCGCTCAACACAGTCATCTCGGAAGATCCCGAATGCCGATGTCATCAAGGCATGCGATAGCGATTATTTGAATCATGCGGGGTCAAGCTTGAAAATATAAGAAGTCTCTTTTTTCTGAATTGCTTGTGTTTTTAGGTTCTACAAAGCCTTAGCATTTTGCCTATTTCCTTTATTTTGCTTACATTGTCTCAAAGCAACCATGACTATCGGAAGAAAGCCGCGCGTTGTTTCCCTCGGGGAGCCTGCATTCGTGGGCAGTGAATATCTTACTCAATTCAAGACCGAATTTGACTACTCCGTCCTCCCTGCAACAAATCGCGAGGAAGCCCAGGTATTGCTACCCAAGGACATCAACGAAAATGGACCGATAGACGCGTTCATCGTTCGCATGGGTACGCCACCCTACGAGCCACTCGATCAGGATTTTTTTCGAGCACTAGCACCGGGGTGTAAGATTATCACTTCTGCTAGTGCCGGATACAATGAGTTCGACGTGGACTGGATGACCAGCCAGGAAATTGTGTTTTGTAATACTGTGAATGCCGTCGCTGAGGCTACAGCAGACATGGCTATATTTCTGATACTTGCTGTTCTGAGGAACACCACAAATGCCGAGCGGAGTGCACGGAGCGGGATGTGGAGGAAGGGCGCAAACCTGGTTCCTACTTGTGATCCGTCGGGATTCACACTTGGTATCGTCGGTATGGGTGCTATTGGAAAGGTGAATAGTCCGAAGTTCATTGACTCGGAGCGCTGCTGACTTTCCTTCTCAGTACCTCGCCAAGAAAGCCGCGGTCTTCAATATGAAGATCAAGTACTACAATCGACACCAACTACCGGCCTCCGAAGAAGCAGCGTACGGTGCAACATATTGCCAGTCTCTACATGAGCTTCTGCACGAATCAGATGTCGTCTCCTTGAATTGCCCTCTGAATGTGGCAACCACGAACCTAATCAGCGAAGCCGAATTCTCTGCTATGAAAGACGGTGTATTCCTCATTAACACGGCTAGAGGAGCAGTCATCGACGAGGAGGCTCTCATTGCGGCACTTGAGTCAGGCAAGGTACAGCGGGCTGGACTTGATGTTTTTGTGAACGAGCCGAGCCCGAATCCCTACTTTCTACAAAGTGATAAAGTCGTTGTGCAGCCACATTTGGGTGGTTTGACCGAGAAGGCATTTCAAAAAGCCGAGAGAGAATGCTTTGAGAACATCCGTGCTTTTTTCAAGACCGGGAAGGCAAACTCGCCAGTGAATATCAAGGTCCAAGCCCCCTGAGGGCGATAGACCGGTTCAGTGACAGATATCAGCTCAGCTCAGTGCTGAGCTAGTAGTAACTCTATACATGAATATATGATTGTTATCTACTCAGCCCTCCTTATCCGAAACAAAATGTCAATCTATAGAAATAGCCCTCCTTCGCTATCGTTCATTGGACTTCGGATTCTCCCGGTATGTTATCAGGGGCGAGTCCACCAACAATGCTCGGTTTCTCCCGATTCGCATTTGAGAATATCCGATCTGACCACAGATTGGGTTAGACTTAGTTTCGCATTGCTTAAAGTGCGCGCAAGTCGATCCTTATGTGGGAAATGTGGGAAATGTGGGGAATGCCTGGTAACATCCGTACTCCGTAATTGTAAGTACGCGACAATGAGGATAGGGGCGAACTCTGATAGACCGTCAATAATGCAGTTATGGACTTCAAGGTGTGAAGGAATGATTGAGGGGTAAATGTTAGATCAAGTCATTGGTCACGTTATCTCAACCGTTTTATCTCCCCCGCGATATTGTCAAATCAACATTGTGTCTCAGTCAAGCATTTTGAATCATGAGACACGCACCAAAGCGACCAAGGGTTGGGAAGCGGACGATACTGGCTTGTATCGAATGTAAGCGCAAGAAATTGAAGGTCAGGGTCGCCCGAAGAGTGAATGAGATACGTAGGCTGACAGATGATTAGTGCAATGGGCAAACGCCGAAATGTAACCATTGCCTGAAAAATCAACACGGTACGTCAATTACTCTTTTGGGTTGGTGGCTTTATCTGATGTGGCGCAGAATGCCTCGTGGAAGACCCTGCCACAGGGCTGCATCGCCCGCGTGACTACATGCAGTCGCTTGAATTGCGCGTAGTTTATCTGGAAGCGCTTCTCCGAGAATCACGTCCAGATATACCCTTGAATGGAGATAATCAGCATGAGCTCAGGAATATTGAGTCTAATACTCCGCTTGTTCCAACAACCTCGGCCCAGGCACCGGAAGCTCCAACCTTCAGCCAATTACAGGACTCGCCGGGGGCATACACGAGTCCTCTCTGTATGCAAGAAGCATCATCATCATCATCAATTCCAAAAGAACACGCCGGGCAGGTCGACCATCTCTCTTCGGAAGTTGCCCTACTGTGTCTCAATGCCGCGGGTGGTGAGCCCCACTATTTCGGTCCTTCGTCGGCGGTCTTATTCTCGAGGATCATTAGTGCAACAATGGGTCTCAAAAGCGAGAAATCGTCATCGTCGCCGCGTACTTTTGAAGACTCGGAAAGAAGCCATTCTGACGCACAGCCTGATGGAGTACTAGGACTACCATCACCAAGTGTTGCAGCTAATCTATCGCGGGCTTATTTCGATAATATTCACCCTCAGTATCCTTTTCTCCACCGACCAACATTCTGCAAATGGGAGCAGGATGTTTGCAAATCTAGCCAGTCAGTACACAATCCTGCCGCCGGAGAGGTTCCACTATTTTTCGTCCTTATGGTATGGCCACCTCCAGTGGATTTGAGATATGATCTGACGATATTGACTTATCACAAAGGTCTATGCGACAGGCTCCCTTGTATTGAATCAAAGTCAGCACGGTGCCGCAGCGGTATGTTCTACTTGACCACTTGGGTATTCTTGATTGCTAACGCTATCAGATGTACTATTCCATGGCCTTGGATTACCTCCCCTCGGTCCTTGCGCTTAATAATCTGGAATCAATCCAAAGCATACTATGTTGCGCTGTGTACTCGATCAGATCACCTACTGGGGCCAGTCTTTGGTATTTTCTTCCCCTATCCTTGTTCCAGCTCAAACTATAACGTCAGTAATAGGAAAATATCAGGCATGGCCATTCGTCACTGTATTGAGCTAAGATACCACAGAAGCGCAGAAAGATATCGCAACCATGTCGATCCCTTGACAAAGGAAATGTCTAGAAGGTGCTTTTGGGTCGCATACGACATTGATCGTGTTGCAGCTTTTACCCTCGGTCGACCAGTAGGTATCCCGGATGAGTTGATCGATGCAGAGGTATGATATAATCTGTCTAATACCTTACTTCGATCTTCTAACCTCCTATACTAGCTTCCCATGGATATTGAAGACGAGAATATTACTCACAGTGGCCTGTTGGCGAACCCCCGTGCTACCGGTGACCAGGTGCCAACAATCATGACAGGCACTCTTCATGTTATCAAGTTGAGGCAACTATGGGCAAAATTCCATGCCACTCTCTATTCGCCTCAATTACAATACGCCAGTACGGGTAGCCAATTTGCCACTGTTGACACTCTGCGCCAAGAATTGGAAGAATGGCATGCATCAGCTCCCACACACCTGGACTATTCATCCTCTCATCCTTTATCGGTGTTTGCATCAAATGAATGGTTCCAAATTGCCTACAATCATTCAATTCTGATTCTTTATCGCTCACATATCACTAGAATTCTGGGTGAACGACAGGCATCTGGCCCAAACGAGTCGAACAGCACCGACTTCATTGAAGAGGAAGAGGACCTCCAAAGAGCATTCGAAAATTGCTCCCGCTGTGCCCGTGAAATATGCGTGCTGTATCGTCGGCTATACCAGGAATCAAGTGTTCAATTCACTTGGGGAAGTCTCCATATTCTGTTCCTTGGCGGGTTGACATATTTGTATTGTCTCTGGCGGTCATGGCGAATACGCCAGCAGACTAAGCAGAGCGAGATATTAAATACATGTATGGCCTGCACAACAGTCTTGGTCATTATAGCTGAGCGGTGGAACTTGGCCACATCGTATCGCGATATCTTCGAAACACTCTCTGAGAAAACCATCAACATGATCTGCGGAAATGATAAGCTTGCTGGACCAGCCCCTCCACAGTCACAATGGACTGCCCCTTATGACAATCTCCTTTCCCCAAGAGACTGGAGTTTGGGCTTTGATGATTTATCCATGCCTCAAGGTTCCGACTGGTTTATTCAAGAGTTTTTACAACAGTTCCCAGAATCTTAACCTGATGAAACCGAACTAAGAGTCGAATTGCATGTACTCCTCCAGGATTTAAAGGCCGCTCAGTTATACTCAGTGAATGAAAGGCGGCAAGGTGTGGGCAAAGCTCTCGTGCGGCCTAAAATATATTTTGAACGTACGAGGTCGTCTAGTATGCTATGACCATCGATACACGTCATAGAAATCGTTCGAATTAGTTTAATAGTGTGGGCTACCATAGTTCTGCGATCCAAATTAAGCGGCGGCTAGCTAGGGTCTAGGGTAGGGACTTATAAATTCTTCCGTTGAAACCTTTCCTTTCTTTCTCCTCAAATTCTATCTTCTTTCTGATACTAAAGCTTACCATACAAGAATCGTTCAATCGTCACTAAAATGTCTGAGCTATCTGTTGAAGGCCAAGAGTCGAAGGCAGTCCCCTGCTACCACGACCACCCTCCGCAATACGACTCATACTATGGAAGCCAAGACTTACTCACCTCTATCATTGAGAACGAGCATACTGTCCGGAAATTAGACAAACGGATGGATGAGTTGAACACAAAGATAACGGAGATAGCCAACATAAGAGAGGAGCTGTAGAAGAAAACATTCCTGGAAACTCCAGCTTCGAATCTTACCACTGCTGAAGATTTTGAGGAGTTAAGCGGGGCATTCACAGAGATAGCACAGATAATGACCGGGCTGTCAAATGCTTGCAAAGAGCGCGCCGTTCACAACACCGATCTCTATAAGGCCATCGAAAATCTCACCGATAACGAGCTCGAGCGGACTTATGATTCTTTAAAGCGAGACCCAGACCGGCAGATCCGACATGAGCTGGCTCAGGACCACAAAGACCGCAGCGACAGAGATTCAGGACACAATTTCCAATGCTCTTCGACGACCAATCAAGTAGAGCGAGCTGGCAATTGCACATACAACTCTTGCAGCCGGTTCGCCGAGCCCTTAGCAACGATGGACAAGATCAATGAGAAACTTCCATCCGATACGGCCAATATCTCGAAAATGGCCGATGATACTACCGCAAAGTCACCCGTGAGTTTTTGGAAGAAATTTTTCAGACGTTCAGCTCGGCCTTAATAGTGAAGTGGAATGAGGGTTTCTGAAAGGATCAGATTATGAGATGACTGATGGATCTTGGTCTTTATCTTGTTTGGTACCAACTTGAACGATTCATGCGGATGTATATACTGCCGATGATTAGGTTGTTTCTGTATGGCTGAATCAAATTTGTTCTACAACCTTTCACACATCTTGAGATACGGTCGAAATGTCTAATACTCAAGACTTGGACAAACATTCACTTTTCCTAGCTTATCATGATCACAAATTAATGAGGTCTAGAAGATCTAGCTCCCGCGGACAAAGAGCCTACAGTGAGCAGTGAAATATATGTCCGAGAGAAAAGTCAAGGTACCCTAAGGCACCGACGGTTGAATGGTATATATTTCATAATCACGTCCGAAGAGGGCTTGTGGAATCCAAAACCAACAGTCAAACACAGGAAAAATAAAACAACAAAGAAAAGACAGCAATCAAACAGTAGACCTCCACCTCACATCTACACCCAGTTTTTCCTTTCATCTCACCTCACTAAGGTTCTCGGAGAGAAGCAAAAATGGTCAAAAAGCCCCAGAGGATCGCCACGAAAGCACCCTTGATCGTACATCTGTTTTCATTCATCTCACCTTGCTGAGGTTCTCGGAGAGAAGAAATCGGACAAAACAACAGAGGAACGCCGTCGATACCATAACCCCTCATGCGGGGGACTCACAAAGCTGCTTCCAACCATGGGCAATGGTGCGCCCAACATCGGCCAATGAGTTGGTCGTGGTGGCGGGATCTTTCGCCCTGATAACAAAATTGCCCATGAACGAGGGGCTCTTTGGCGAGGGAACCGAGCGAGGCGTTGCTGGCTTTTTGGGGTCGCGGGCTCAGGTGTCGCGGGGGCCGGATTCAGGTTTTGGAGGCTATGCCGCGAGATGTCAGCCAATGTACGAAGAAGCCCCCAGAGATGTTTCAAGAATCGAGAGCTGCCATGAAAGCTTTCATGAGAGCGAACAGGACAGGGATCATGATCTTCAACTTACGGAGTTGCCTCCTTGGCCTCACATCCCCCTTCTGCTTCAGGACATAGAACACGAGGCCCAAACAATTGCTGGCCACAATGCTGATGACGACCCAGAGGCCGTCGGGGATTCTTGCCAGGTTATCTATGGCGGAGGGAGGAGTGGGCGAGGGGACGACACGGAGGTCACGCATGAAAGTGGTGGTTATCATGATGGTTTCAGTGATTACCTCCATGATGAGAATGTTGTTGAGAGGAAAAAAAGCGAGGGCTCTGGAGGAACATGATGTACTCTCGACTCAAAGGTTCGTGCCTGCCGAATTTGTAGTTTCCCATTGCGAGAGCACAGCTAAGTCTCTATCTCCCTCTCTCAAAATTAAGAAAGAGATTGCTGAATCTGATGTAGTTGTGTTGGACCGTTGTACACACTGCCACTTCGTTCGGCATGGTAATAAGCCCACTTGCTTTGACGATGTGTCTGATGTATGTAGAGTGATGATGTCCATTGTGATGGTGTGTGTGAGAGGAAGAAAAGAGAGGAAGAAGGAAAGAGGGAAAGGCCAATAAATAGTCTGCATAGCTTCCGATGATTGGAGTATTTACTCAGAGGATGGTAAAATCGGATGGGGATCGAGTTTAGGTCAAGCCCTAAAAGAGGAGTCTCGAATATAGTGCTTGCAAACACTTACAGCTTCGTATAATGCTCTGGGAGACACCCTAGGCATTCGAAGCTCCGAGAAGGATTGTGCTCCCCGCCAGTAGCTGCTATTATAGTGATGGTTAAGATCGGGGGTGGTAGCCTATCTCCCGGAAAAATAAGCGGTAGTAAGGAGAGACATATAAGCATGATACTTAAAACCTTGGCAAATTCTACTGTCTAATAATAGGGGATGGTTGGGTAGGCCGTGGGCCGTGGCAAAAAGCAAGGAGGAGGAGTGGCCTAATATACTTGATACTAGATTTATGGCTTATATACTATCTTTTCAGGTATCTTTTTAGATGTCTTTTTAGGTATCTCTAAAGAACCCTTCAGCCCGATACTATTATTTTTTCGCTTTTAAATTCGTACTTTCCTCACACGCGCAAAGATCCTCTAATATACATCTTCGGCCGCATCTTTTCCTACAATAGGATCAAGATGCCCGTACCCCTTGACTAGAAACCTGCGATATAGTCTTTGCTTAATTAAGCATAACCAACTTATTTTTGACGCCGAGACTCCAAAGTCACGTCATAGGTGGTAGAATAGTGAGTCGCTATAGCATTTATACTCCATTCTTTCTAGTAGATTATACTACCTAGGGCCTATAGTTCCCACGTGACTGCATCGAGATTCCCGATGAGGTCACGTGTATCACTGTATAATCTTACACCCGACTCGTGATCAAGGCGGTACGTTTACGATTAAGGCGATCACCGTTCCCCGAGCAAATAAGGTTATTTCAACCCGCCGTATATCAGACAAATAACAACCAAGCATTTTTCCACCGAGACAATCCATATACTCTTCCCTGTTGCTAATTGATGCCTCGGCAATTTCCGACTCTCCAAAAACGGGACCATTCCTGCTTACGCGCTAATCTGCTCAAACCAACGCAAGGCTGTGGCCAGGTCATTCCAGCATTTGCCCATGTATATAAAAGACAAGATCACCCATTCTAGAAAATAGATAGTTACTAGAGGGGCTGCATATACTCCGGATTCCTAACCGCGAAACCACAAACGACATGTCCGGTATGACCCCCACAGTTCCACTTCCAGCATATAGTCTCCATATTAACAGATTGCGTATTCAGAACCTCAAGACAAACCCGCCCCTCTCCGCGTGGGCGTAGTGCTGTTCCCAGGCTTCCAAGCCCTGGACGTATTCGGCCCAGTGGACTGCATCAACGTCCTCTCCTGGAGCCACAGCGTGACATTGGCACTTCTCTCCTCAACCCTGGAGCCAGTGACAACAAAGTCACCGTTATCCGCCAACGCCATAAGCCAAAGCGTGGTGCCGACCCACACGTTCGCAACAGCACCGTCTCTGGATCTGCTTCTCGTCCCTGGTGGTCTGGGCGCGCGCGGTTCGAGCCCAGAAATCGAGGAAGCAATCTCGTATATCCGAAACGTGTATCCCCAGCTACGCTATCTTATTACGGTGTGTACTGGCTCCGGGCTTGCGGCGCGAGCTGGGGTTCTAGATGGGAAACGAGCCACGACGAATAAGAGGGCGTGGGCGGAGATCACGGGGTTGGCGGTGGATATTGAGTGGGTTGCTCGGGCGAGATGGGTCGTTGATGGTAAGGTTTGGTCTTCCTCGGGGGTTAGTGCTGGTATTGATGTTACTCTTGCTTGGATTGAGGAGGTATATGGGAGTGAGGTGGCGGGGAAGATCGCGAATAGTATGGAATATACTCGACATGAGGATCCTAGTCATGATCCATTTGCTGAACTGTATGGGCTTTGAGGGAACTATGTGCCTGCTTTCGTGTTTTGTGTGGAGGGTCTCCACTCAGTTGGGGAAATGTATACAGAAATATATCTTCTATGCTGAGACGGTGTGGCGTGTGCGCATGCCACGTAGCGACACGCAAAATTGCATTGACCATTTTTTAGTCTTATGTGGGCTTTCCGTGATCCTTCCAAGGGTTTCATGTAAATGTAACTAAGAAAAGGGCCTGTGACATAACATGAGGCTCGCCGTAGAGTATGAAGCACATATAAGGAGGCGACGATTTGGAAGTGCCGATTACCCAGATAAGCAACTCGGCCTTTTCCCTCCGATTTTCTAGGGAACATTGAATTTCTCATAGCCCTTCAAAGATCAGTAGTTGCGGATGCCATGGATCCGTTTCTCCACCGATTTCCCATTTCGCGGGCACGTGATCGCGCGCCGTTATCGACGCGCCTCAATCTCGCAACTTTGCGATCCGAACATGAATATTCCGACGTGTCATCATGTCTTATTATGATATTGACTCCATCTTGACGGATGCGCAAGTAAGTTAGTTGCGACCCGCAAATGGACAATTACTAACATCAATCTAGAAACTACCATGTACATTTGAGCTCGAAGTACCCGGACTGGGTATTCTAGAGGGCAACGCGGGCGAAGATGCAAGTCTATGCTCTATTTTTCACTGCCCAGCGACACAGATCACTGACAGATGCACAGATCAAAGCCGGAACCCGGATCGACCTTCCACTATGGCTAGGTGAAATGCTCTCGATCGGGTAAGGTCCTTACCAGACCAGCGTGGAGTTTGTTATTTCCCTAACATGGTATCTGTGGCTACAGAGCGCGTCTAGGAACGGCCCGCTTGGTTACGCTCGACATGCCCGAGGCGCTTTCGGAGCGGGTGATGAATGCGCTGAAGGCCGATCCCCGCACAGTTGACTTGCGTGCTTTAGCACCGCATTTCTACAACCTCAGCGAGCGGATTCTTGAACTCTTCGAGGAGGAAGAGATGGTCGATGTTCTCAGTGATGTAGGTGTCATTATTTCCGTGACTATTGGTTGAGCTAGGATTAACAAGCTGTTAGACATTCAAGAAACGAGCGGCCGAGATTGCTGACCATGCACGCAACTCGCGTGGTGCGGTTGGTGGCGGAGTTGAGTTCCTTCGTGGACTGGATGAGACTGAGCGACAATGTAGGTTATGATTGTCCTTATTTGGATGGGGATAAGGTCGCTAACAGACATGGTTCAATAGTGTTCCGGGCTGCTCATGACAGGGCCAAGGACATGCGGATCTGGTCAGGGGAGGCGAAACGTAAGTAATAGTGTTTAATAGTGAGACATTTCTCTGGGCTCTGAGCTGTGCTCGCTCATGAAAGTGATACATTCTATGATCGATCGGATAGGTATATGATCACAGAGTATGAAGAATATGAGATGGCTGGGTGGAGTCGCATAGTTTAATGTTGAGACGTTGACTTCCGAAGGCGACGGAGTGGAGCCCCGACCCGTCGAAAGGGAAATGTTTATTTTTGTATAACCGGCGGACCTTTGGGATTGAAATATTGTTTCTCCTTTGTTTCAGTATAGAATGATTGATATATACACCCAAGACACACACATCCCACCCTCTATCCCAATCACCAAATCCAACATTCAGGAGAAACCCCGCGCAAGGGCCAGGTGAGACGCGCCCCACGGCCCCGGTCCGATTGGCCGTCGACGGACGAGAGAGACACCACCGGAGTGATCGTCGCGTTAAGGAGCCGATTGACTGGAATCTAGCCTCGGGGCTGGAAAAAGAGAAAAAAACTATTTAGAAATCACCAGATGGTGATCTGATCTGATGTTTCTTCCATTCTTGGCCTCTTTCCATTCTTCCTCTCTCATAACAATAACATCTACAACATACACAAACATTCAAATCCAGTGCGGGGCCAACCCTTTCCTTTCTTTGGAGATCGACTCGTCACAACTCGTTGGTCACTTCACCCTCGCGTTTGACTGATCCCAAGTCCCGCTCCTCCCTTGAGTTGGCAGCCTGAGACCCCTCTATGCCTTGATTTGGGTCTATTGTCTCGATAAACCTACCTTGCACTCCACAGGTTCGATTCCAGCCTCTGATTGCTCCCCACCTGCAACTCATCTGCATCCCTCGCATCGACGGCCTGCGTGTTACCCACCGGCGTCCAATCACCGTCCATATCCGAGGGTCCATCTATTAATCCTCCGATGCGGGTGGTGGATTGTGCAGGGAATTGTTACTGTGGTGTCTCCTGATTGACTAGGATATTGCACTGCTGCATCCAAACAGGGGAACGGGGGGCTTGACGGCACGTCAATTATGCGCGTTCGCTAAAACAGTATGCCGGCAGTCATTATGGACGAGAAAACCCAAAGAAGGAGCTCGGCCGCTGGTCAGCTTGCTCCTTCAAACACTCGAAGTCCCGTATATCATCCCAGCACTGCGCCCAAACGCAGTGTTTCCTCTAAAGACCACTCCTCTAGTACGTGGCTTCTAAACTTGCTTGAATTGAGTTCCAACACTCAGCCTTAATTTAATCGGAGCTGACATTGCTTCTTCTTCAAGACTTATCAGACCGTCCTCAACATCCATCGCTTTCTCGCGTCAAGGGTCGATCGAATATGTTTACTCCACCAAGAATGAGCCCAGAGGTCTCATGGCTAGGAGACCAATCGCCTATTCAACGGGGCGCAAGAACCCCAATCCGCTCATCCTCATCTGGTATGTTCAATTGCCATCGGCCTTGGCTGTAGAGCACAACTGATCATTCGTGTCTAGAAACCCCCGAACCTAGCACTCCTACGCTCGTAAACCCTGCCTCAGCTCTCCTGCAGGATCTACTAAAAGAAGAACGCGCGCACCGAAGCTCCCGAGGAACCATATCAGAGGACTTTAAAGAAAATACTCCTCTCACTCCGGAGAACACTCGAACCCAGGAAGAACCTACCTCCGAGAAAGCCCGCAAAGCAAACGATGTCTTCTCCGCTGGCCAGAGAAAACCAAAAGAGATGGGCATGCGGGAAATGGACCAAGTAAGTTCATGAGACACAATCCCTGTGCACTAGCTGACTCGTCTAAAGTATGTCTCGAAAATGAACAAGCTGAATTTCGATTTGAAGCTCGAGGTCTTCCATCGCACGCAACAGTTGGCTATGTACGAAAAAAAGCTGGAAAGGATGGCGGAGATGGAAGAACAACTAGCGCACATGGACGATTTGATGGCAGAGGTGGAGGAGCTGCGAACCACCGAGAAAGAGAACCAGACCCTACGTGAATCGAACGAGCAACTCCGCAACGATCTTGACAAGCGAGACCTGGCTGTGACTGAAGCCGTCGAGCTCATCTGCCAGTTGGAATCGAAACTTGACCTGCTGGAGAACGGCCGGGGCTCCAGGCTGTCTATGTCGCGCCCTATGACCGCTGATGGCTCTGAGGCCTTAGCGAAAGCCCAGGCCATGATTGAGATCCCGGAGAGAACCTCTTCCAAGCGAAATGCAAGTGTCTTGAGCGTAGCTCAGCACCAATCATCTTCTGAGCTACGCAGACTCTCCAAAGCACCCTCCTTCCTACGAGCAGATAACAAAAGTACTGCCACTTTGCGAAGCCTTTATGCTCCTGAAGAAGAAACCCAGTCACGCTCTGCAAGGACTGAACTTTCGAAATCCGAGAGCTTCCACACAAACAACGAGATGATGGAGCCGGAATCACCCAGACTGAGCGTCCTGAGTGAATGCAGTGAGCTGAATGCATTCGACACGCCTATGATGTGGCAAGAATTTGATCAGTTGGAGATCCCTGTCCGGAGACCGTCATCGGTCGCAGGCAGCTTGGATAGCTATGTCTCCCCCGAGAACGGGAAGAAAGCAGAAAAGACAAGATTGACCGGTGGATGCAGTCCCGCGAAGACGTAAGCGAGACCATTATCAACAAACGCAGGAACCGAGTATCATCTGATGTCACCAAGGCGAGCATTGCCAGTTTCTCACCAGACCTATACGCTTCCAAGCCGCGTGGACGTGGACGACTGGACGGATCTCTTTTCGGCGGCATCCACCTTCCTCCCACCCCCGACACTATGAGTACGGCATATGCTATCGGTGCAAACCGATCGAATGGGTCGGATGGGAGCATTGCAGCCCGGAAGGGCTCCCAGACTGAGGATTTGTTCTTCCCTGGCAGACGACTCAATCGCCCACGTTCTGCCGGAGAGATGGCCTGTCCCTACAGCTATGGCAGTGACATTGACGACAGCATGCAAAACAACTGCAACGATACTCCGCGCCTAGGAGTCGCTGATGAGTCTCGAACTATCCTGCCCTCCTTCAACACAGTTTCCTCCAAAGCCAGCGCGCTTCTTGGGCCCGGAAGCCCCGACAACCCTGTTATTGAAACCTTCGGAGATTTATACCACGCAAGTGCAAACGAAGGATCAACCCAAACAATCAAACGCGTCCGTAGCCCCACCAAAGCTAAGACCCCAGAGCCGCACAGTGACCGCGACTCTTCGCCGCCACTCACACCCCAAGACTGGGTTGCCGCTGCAAAGCATCCCCGGTCTCGCAGGCCCAGACCGCGCGACACCCGCCACGAAATCCAACCCACAGACCTATCACCAGGCACTGTCATCAGTCCAGCATTCGAAGACGACAGCAGCCTCGCTTCGGGCCCAAGCGAGCTCGAAATTACCGGTATCCCAACTCTAGATATGAGCACTCTGGATATACTAGCGCGAGGCCTCGAACCCACCCAGCCAGGCCCCAAAGTCGAAGCCAAACACGAGCATCGTCGCCGTCTCAGCTTCCTACCCCCATTCTTCAACCGCTCGAGCTCTAACGCCCGCCAACTCCAAGGCTCCCCAGTCCTAAACGACTTCGAAGACGACTTCGACGACGGCGCTCCATCCCCAGTAATCCCCAAAACAAGGACAACGGCAGGCGCCACCCGAAGACCCGCGTCGCAAATAATAACCGCTCCAACCGAGCTATACCCCTCCAACCCCCCAATCCACATCGAAGAACCACCCGCGGCCTTCAGACGCGGATTCCCGCAATCAGCAACAATGTCCACACTAGCGGACCACGGCTCCGAAACACTCGCGCGCCCCTCCTCATCTCAAGGCCCGGAACACAAGCGACGCAGCTCACTAGGAATATTCGGCTGGATGAAGAGCAAACGCTCTGATTCCGGGCCCGGGACGGAGAAATCCACCGACTCCACGTCCAAAGAGAACCGCGCTCCCTCGCGGCTAGCTTACGAAACGACTCATGGGCTTGGAATCCCGCATGGAAACACGGATTCCATGGAGACTCATGTCAGACACCACTCCGAGATGGGTATTCAGTATGATGACTATGCGAGACGGCCTCGGTATATGGGCCGTCGTACGCGCAGGGGCTGAGTCTCTCTCGGAGCTGTCATTACGGCCTTACTCTTCGTTCTTTATTTTCTTACTTCGTCTCTTTGCCTCGGTCTCTCTTTGTCTCTGTTTTGCTTCTTCTTCCATTTATACTTCATGATACCCGGCCCTGTATAAACAGTAGCGTGGCTACATTCCTTTGCATTTCTTTTACTCTTCATTTGAAACGCCATGGTGTATTATGAGATCTCTTTACTTTATCTTATGTTGTTACTTTAACGTATATGAATCACGACTCTAGCCTTCTTCATCTTTCACAATTTATTCATCCTGTCGGCAGGGTTTACTGAGATGTGTTTCATAGTCTCACCTTACTCTACGTAATGATAGTACGAAATGAACGAAGATTCAAGAAGTCAAGTAGTAATTCAATTTCCTTTCTCGTCACACGAGGACAACTAGTTGATACGAAGTGACGGGCGCAAGCTCCGGCCTCCATCACTTCGTATCAACTAGTTGCCCGCGCAGACTCGAACGCCCGCCCCCACGGGTCTCCCCAATTCTCTTCCTTCTCATCGCTAGACGATGGGAGCCTAAGGCCCCCGGCCCTTCACACCGGGCGCGACAGCAAGGGTTCCGTACACATCAGGGTTTCCCCTCTAGTAAGAGATGAGTATTAGCAAGTGCACCGATAGAGATGGAAGCAGGGATATGAGAAGTGACTTACGATGTGGGTCTGCGCGAGGTGCCGCCGCAGATTGGAGGCCATGAGTCTTGGCCTCCCCACCTTGTTGAATTCTGCGCAGTACGGGCACTTGTACGCGCAGGGAGCGATGATCTAACGAAGTAAAATGAAACGTGTTAGTGATGAAGAATGAGAAAGAAAGGAAGAAAGGAAGTGAAGTGAGAATTCAAGAAGGGAGGGTATAGGCTTGGCTGGATGGGATGGGATGGGATGGGATGGGATGGGATGGGATGGGATACGTACCAGCTCCGCGTTGTTCAGAGGCCACTGCACCCGCGGGCCGTGGCAGTCGCAGAGCAGCTTGGCGGTCTCTCTGATATGTGCGATATTGGTTAGCTTGGATCAAATGAAAGCACGTAGACAGGTGACATGACGAAGATGGAACGAAACTTACGCGAAGGCGTCAGGAGGGTGGCTGCTGTTGCGCGCCTTCCAGCGGCTGCCCTGGGTAGGGCTGGTGCTTGCAGCCTGGGCTGCAGCGGCAGCAGTGCTTGTGCCCTGGGTAGTGCCAGTACCCTGGGTGGTGGCAGTGGCCTGGTCAGTGCTAGTAGCCGGGACAGTGCTGGCAGCAGGAGCAGTGCTGGCAGCAGGAGCAGTGCTGGCAGCCTGGTCAGAGCTGGTGCCCTGGTCAGTGCTGGTGGCGGTGTTAGCAGAGTTTAGGAGAAGAGCAGGGTCAACAAGCTCCAGAAAGCGCCTCTGCTCAGAGGGATCGAGGCCGTACCAAGAGCCTTGGTGATTAGACATTGTGGCAGATGAGTTCAGTACGTAATTGATAGATGTACTGAAAGTGATCTGGGGAGAGGAGAGAAGAAGAGGAAAGGAGAGAAAAGGGAACAGGGGAGTAATAAATAGAGCAAAGGCGGGGGGATCTCTTGCTCTCACTTGAATTGCCAGGCAGCAGGAGTGTCAATGGGCAGGAGCGCTCAATAGGCAGGAGCGACAATGGGTGGGTGGTGTCATTCAACTGAGCCTAATACGGAAGGAGGCAGGCACAATATGGCTTTGGTGAATGAGGCACTTCTCGAAGGGCCAGCCTAGCTTCACCATCAATAGACCTATTGAGGTTTGAACTTGACGAGAGTTGATATTGATTGATATTGATGCCTAGGACACATTGTGAATAGAATACTTGAGGCAGAAGAGCAGGGTCCTATACAAAATGTCAATATCAAATTCAGTTAACTCCAAGGCTTCCAGTCCATTTTGTTGCCAACTCCAGGATTTCTCACTTTTCCAAGACGCCCACACGATTAACATTACCATTAAGTCAAAATATTCCAAAAGAAAAGACCTCACTATCTAATTAGTCCAGCATAAAGCCTAATACCACCTATGACCGTCCTCCCCAAGCGATTTCTTCTTCGGATTCAACGAAACAATCCGCTGCCCAGGAAGCGTATCCGCAGTGAAGGCCGCCTCAAAGATGCTAGCAATCCCTCGCTTAGCATAGTGCGCGAAAGAATCATAATCATCCGTCTTCCCATTAATAGCCGCCCACTCCAGTCCACCAGGCGTAGTCCCATCCCCAAGATCACTCCACCGCGTAACAACAATACACTGCTTGAACCTGCGATCATCCAGATCCTCAGTCAACTTAACCTCAATCAAATACTCAGTCGGACACTGGGGACATCTCCGCATCGGCCGGCAGAACCCACACAGGGTCGTCAGCGCATTCGGATCAAACGCCTGCCCCGCCATGCGATCCTTGACTCGGTGCTCGAGCCCTTGCAATCCGCCCGTACTCCGCGGCCGCGGAATATGCTCCAGCGCACACTTACACGCCGGCATTAGCTCGCCGTCGCGCCAGTGCGCGCACGCGCTAAAGTACGGACAGTAGTCCTCGCGTGAGTGCAGCAGCATGCGCTGCCCGGACGCCGTCAGGCCCGGCGCCGCAAAGGTCTGGCTGGTGACGCGGAGTAAGAGCCTGCCGGCGTGGACGTGGAAGCGTGTGCTGTGCGACCAGTTGTCGCGCTGCCAGCGGCGGCCCAGCGATTCCGGGGCCAGGCCGTAGCTGGGACCGAAGCGGTGGGCGCGCATGACGAGCTGCACGAATGTGAAGGGCAGGTTGCGGCCGTGCGTCATGCGGTGGCGGGGTGGGGGGTTCAGGACGTTTGTGGAGTTTGGGCAGTTGAAGAGCGGGTTTAGGACGTGGGTTGGGCGGATGCGTTCGGTTCCTTCTTTTGTGCGTCTGTGGTACTTTACGCACGGGATGCAAAGGAGGTGGTGTGGGACGGAGATGTCCATGCCGACGAGGAAGTTGATTTTCTCGATTTGGTTGTCTGGGTGCTCTAGAGCCTTGAGGTATCCGGAGCCTAGTCTTCGGTATAATGTGATGCTGGCCATTGCTAGGCTTGCGGCTTCGGCGGGATTTAGGTATCCCGCTATATGTGCCCATAGCTTTGGTGGCAGACTTGCTATATCGCCCTCGCCTGGCGGTCGACGGTCATTGTGCTCGTATGTTGGAGGGTGAATCTCGTTGACGTCAGATGTTCCTAGCGTATGGATGATTTCTGTGTAGTCCCGTCGCTCACCCAGTTGGCTGTCCACTTGCGCATGCAATTCCTTGTATTTGAGTCTATGGAGGGCCAATGGAGCTAACTCTGGCATTGGAGGGGCTTCCTCGACACTGGTCTCCACGGCCAGCTGCAGGTCTGTGGAGGACGATCTGCTGCCCTTGCGGAGGGTTTGGCGGGATTTCTTGGGACGCAATGCGTTGGAGAAAAACGACTTGAAGCCATTCTTCTGGCCAGGGCTTTCTGCCGACATCATTGAGGTGCTAATAGATGTAAGTCTTCCGAGGCCTAGATGGAGAATATCAGGGTCTGATGTTTCGGATGTCTGCGGTGATCTTTTCCGCATTACGCGGTCCGCCCGGTCCCGGTCTACCGCATTAGTTGACATCAGGAGAACAAGAATTACCTAGTCAAACAAGAAGGTCTTATATTATCAAATATTGTATATTGAAAACACATGCTACAATACATATCAAGCGCAAGACATCATAGCAGCATTTACAAATCAAACACAGTTATTTAAGCGAAACGCTTCTCAACCTCCTTCCAGTTGATGACGTCCCAGATGGCGGAGAAGTACTCGGCCTTGCGGTTCTGGTATTGGAGGCTAAAAAATAATTAGTACGGATATTAGATCATTAAAGAAGGAACTCTTACTAGTAAGCGTGCTCCCAAGCGTCAATACCGAGGAGAGGCTCCCACTGGCCGACGACGGGGTCCTGGTTCTGTTAAGGGGTTAGTAACTAGAACAATTCAAGCGAGAATCATAACTTACGGCATAGGTGCGGATGGCGATACGTCCGGTCAGCTTGTCCCGCACGAGCCAAGCCCAGCCACTGCCCTGGACACCAGCCAGAGCAGCGTTCATCTTGGACTGGAACTCGCCGAGGCCACCGTAGGTGGAGTCAATGGCCTTGGCCAGAGCACCAGAGGGGGGCTCACCACCGCCGGCACTCTTGGGGGCAAGGTTCTTCCAGAAGAGAGAGTGGTTGAGGTGGCCACCACCGTGGAAGTTGACGGCGGGCTTGAGAGCGATCTGAGCATTGATGTCACCCTTAGCCAGGGCGGCCTCCAGCTGCTCAATGGCGGTGTTGTAGCCGTTCACGTAGGTCTTGTGGTGGTTATTGTGGTGGAGCTCCATGATCTTGCCGGAAATGGAGGGCTCAAGCGCGCCATAGTCGTCTTGTTTTAGTGTTAGTTTTAGAAATTTACTTTAAATATGTAGATACCGCTTCTTGGAGCTCTAGCTGATACTGAAGCAACCAACTTACAGGGAAGATCGGGAAGAGTGGCCTTGCCACGGGTAATGGTCAAGCCCGCAGCTCCGGCCTTGAAGGTAGCCGAAGCTCCCGAGCGAAGGGCAACACGGGCCGAGTTGTTAAGAAGAGCAGCCATTGTGAATGTATGTCAAGATTATTATGTGGTGAAGATAATGAGGAGGGTGTCTTGTGAATGGTGAATGAATTCAAAAGAAAAAGGTTGGCGGCGGAGCTATGAAGTACTTAACCGACTATAACGTCATCTTGTTTTCGTCGTCTCGGAGCTATGTTGTTCCAAGCCGGATCCCCACGTGAATTTCATGAGCTCTGCGCTGTGACTGATTATTCGTCTAGGACACTACTTGCTTGATCTTGCACTTTTCGCTGAAAAAGAGGGGACAGTCGATTTGGCCACAAACTGCCAATGAACCCCTGAAAAGATGGAGTCGCCTTCGTCTTCTGGGCAGAAGCGCAAGGTCGCTGACATGAGCTCCGATGAAGAAACCACGCGCCCGACCGTTG